CTCTCTGTGTGTGTGTGTGTGTGTGTGTGTGTGTGTGTGTGTGTGTGTGTGTAGACAAGAGGAAAACCTTGGGTATTATTCATTGGGCATAACTCATCTTTTTTATTCCAGAATTCCCATTTCATTTTTTTATTAGAAAGAAAATTATTTTACATGTCAATCCCAGGTCCCTCTCCCTCCCCTCCTCCCCTGCTCCCCCTGCTCCCCCAACTAACACCCTACCTATTCCATACCCTTTCTGCTCCCCAGGGAGGGTGAGTCCTTCCATAGGAGGTCTTAAAAGTTTGTCATAGTCTTTGGGATAGGGCCTAGGCGAACCCCCTTGTGTCTAGGCTCAGGGAGTATCCCTTCATATGGCATGGATTCCTAAAATCCATTCCAATGCTAGAGATAAGTACTGATCCACTGAAAGGGGACCCAAAGATTTCCAAGGTCTCCTAACTGACACCCACATTCAGGGGGTCTGGATCTGTCCCATGCTGGTTTCCCAGCTATCAGTCTGGAGACCAAGAGTCCTGCCTTATTCAGGTCAGCTGTTTCTGTGGGTTTCACCAGTCTGGTATGGACCCCTTGCTCATCAGTCCTCCTTCTCTGCATCAGGATTTCTGTTCAGTTCAAGGTTTAGCTGTGGGTGTCTGCTTCTACTTGCACCAGTTGCTGGATGAAGGCTATACAATGGCATATGAATTAGTCATCAATCTCATTATCAGGAGACGGCATTTAAGGTAGCGTCTCCTCTGTTGCTTAGAATGTTAGTTGGTGTCATCTTTGTAGCTCTCCAGACATTTCCCTAGTAACTGGTTTCTCTTTAAACTTATAATGTCTCCCTCTATTAAATTATCTCTTACCTTGCTCTCTTCTGTTCTTCCCCCAACTCAACCTCCTGTCCCATCATGTCTTCCTCACTCCTCCTCTTCTCCCCATCTCATTCTCCTAGTTCCCTCTCCCCTCCCCACATGCTCCCAATTTGCTCAGGAGATCTTGTCCCTTTCTCCTTCTCCAGGGGAACATGTATGTCTTTCTTAGCGTCCTACTTGTTTACCAGCCTCTCCGGCAGCCTGGGCTACAGGATGGCAATCATTTCTGTCTAAAATCCACATGAGGGATTCCTCTGGAAAATTGGAATCAGTCTACCACAAGATCCAGCAATTCTACTCTTAGTCATATAACAAAAATAAGCACATTCCTACAAGGACATCTATTCAACTATGTTGATAGCAGCATTATTTGTAATAATCTGGAAACAACC